TTCCCCAACTGGTCCGGTCCAGAACAATGGAGGACGTGGTCCCAGGAAAACTGGAAACACTCATGGAAATGTGAATCTATGCTTCTAAGTCCAGCTCAAAATGGAGGAGCCTTTGGAACTCCTCCTGGACAGAGGAGGGGGATGGAGGACGTGTCCGGGGAAAGGAGGTCAAAGCCTGCCCCTGAAAGTGTCTGGCTGGAAGTGAGATATCAGTTTGAGTGTTGGGACTCGGACTCTGGAAACCAGGTTTCCATTCCTGCCTCAGCCATGAAACCCACTGGGTGACCTAGGGTGAGTCACACTCTCTCAGCCTCAGGGGAAGTGGCAAACCTCCTCTGAACAAATCTGGCCAAGAAAACCCCAAGCACCTTAGGGTCTCCATAAATGGAAACGACGTGGAGGCACACACAAATTCAGAAAGACAAATAATGAGGCCAAAGGGAGAGGGATTGGGCCCTAGTATGGTTCCTTCCCAAGTTTCCACTGGGAAAGCCTTCCTCCATTAGGGATCCCTGTCCACACCCTTTCTGTCCCCACATAGGACGTTATCACACGGGGCCAATCCACACGAAATCCCAACCTAATACGTATTAATGGCCCGTGTTTCCACACGATGTCGCACAGAACCCCGACAGAACCCCGACAGAAAGCGGAAAGATCCGAGATCTTTTGAATTTCGGTTTCTTCAGGAAATGCAATTGCGCGATGAGCATGATTCCGCATTTACCGCAAATGTGATCGCCAAATACGTATTGGGGAGCATTTCCCCGTCATTACCCATGGTTCCTGCGAGCATTCCTCTATCTGCGCATGTGCAGGAGGCTCATTTCTACTACATTTACGGGATATTTTCGCTTGTGTGTGGACGTTCATTGCACTTGCTGTAAATTCGCAATGAAGGTAATGACGTTTGCGGAAACAAGTTTATTTTCGGTTTATTTTCGGAATGCCTCATTTCCACTTTTATTTTCACTTTCTGGCCCACATGTGATAACGTCTTCAGTTTCCCTATAGCTGCATCCACACTGCAGAAATAATCTGGTTTGTTTATATCAAGGGTAGGCAACCTTTCCCCTTTAAGGGCTGAGGGACTTCAGCTCCCAGAATCCCAGGAGCTATTGGCCAACATGGGACTACTGGCCAACATGGCTGAGGCTTCTGGGAGCTGAAGTCCCTTGGCCCTTAAAGGGGAAAGGTTGCCTACCCCTGACCTAGCCAGTGTGGTATACACTCATCCCACCACATTTGCAGCTTTGACTTTTGTGGATTTGATTATTCACGGATTTTATTAATATGTTCTCTCTAGGAATATCTAGGTCCTCCAGCGCAACTCTATGGTCAACTCTATTTGGTGATGGCTTGAGATGACCAGGTGGGGCAGATGGTTGGAAATGCCTTGTGGCTAATATAATAATGGTGGAGTCAAGGTCTGAATCTGGTCCCCCTGTAGCTTTCCTGCTCATGCTCCCAATCAACATGACACATGCTCTGATGGAAATTCACACCTAAAAGGCCTACTCATGGGACTGAAAATGGAAATCCTGGCAGCCTCTCAAACTCCTGTCAGCAATGTGACATGAGCAACAATTTCACCCACAGCCCAGCCCTCATGTTCACCAGCCCCAAAGCCTCCTTTCCATCTACTCCCACTTGGATAAAAGCTGACACTTGCAGACGTGATGCAGAATTAGATTTTATTCCTGTCACTTTGATGTTATCTGTTCCTAAAATGTGCAGCAATGGATTAACCAGCAAGCTAAACTGGGTGACAGTAGAGATGGCATGTTCGGTTAGCGCAGGGGTAAGCAATCTTTCCCCTTTAAGGGCCGAGGGACTTCAGCTCCCAGAAGCCTCAGCCATGTTGGCCAATAGTCCCATGTTGGCCAATAGCTCCTGGGATTCTGGGAGCTGAAGTCCCTCGGCCCTTAAAGGGGAAAGGTTGCCTACCCCTGGTTAGTGGAACAGGAACAGGAACAGAGTCCCGATCACTAGCTGGTTTTTCATGAACCACCAATTCTACTCTGATAGAAAGGAAAGGAGGGGATCCATTTCGAGGATCTGTGTATGAGCAGATTCCAGAGACCTTAGACAACGATCCCTGGCCAAAAGAAGAAGAGGAGTGGAGGGAATGCTTTCAGTCCACCTTTGTAGGTACCAGCTGAGTCCCAATGTTATGGTCCAAGCTGCACCTGAAGGCATGGCTGAGAGCAACCACTTTCATGTGCTGCTCTTCCTCCCAGATGGAAATAAAGTGGGTCCTTGGTATCTGCTGGGGTTTGGTTCCAGGACACTCTGTGGATAACAAAATTTGTGGATGCTCAAGTCCATTTAAATACAATGGCATAGTAAAATGGTGTCCTTTATATAAAATGGCAAAATGAAGGTTTGCTTTTTGCTTGAAAGCTTGAATGCATGGATTTAAAAAATTCCTTGGATGCAGAGGGCTCACTGTACAATAGACATTCCACTCCTCTGTTACACATATAGCATGCAGGAGTTGAGGTTCGGGGCAGATGTAGGTCCAAAACACACTGCAGAAACAATCCAGTTTGAGACTGCGTCAACTGCCCTGGCTCAGCGCTAGAGAATTCTGGGAATTGTAATTTTGTGAGACATTTAGCTGCCTGTGTCAGAGAGCTCTGGTGCCATATTAAACTACAATTCCTAGGATTCCCTAGCACTGAGCCAGGGCAGTTAAAATGGTCTCAAACTGGATTATTTCTGCAGTGTGTTTTTGACCGTAGTCTGGGAAGCTCAACAGGTTGGATTCTGACCCTCTGTAGTAGTGGCATACCTAGTATATTTGACACTTGGTGCTGATAATTTTTTAACGCCCTGTTCCTCTCTTCCACAACCTTTTCCAGTTCTGGTGGAGCTGCTGGCCAGGTGAAAAAAGGAGAAGACTCAACTTCCCACCCAGCCAGCAGACCCCCCCCCCAGACTTGGAAGGCAGCCACTTCCCATCAGTGCACTGGATGATACCCCCTCTGATGTGTCATCTAGTTCAGTCCGCACCCCCCTAGTGATGCCCCTGCTCCTTGAGTTATAAACCACCTCCCTCCCAAATGTGCCTCGGTGCAAAGGAGAGTATTCAGGTTCAAGCCCAAGTCACTTGTAGAATCCAAGAGTTGGAAGAGATCCATCCCAAGAGCCATTCAGTCCAACCCCCTGCCATGCAGGAATAGACAAAGTATTCCTGATACATGGCCATCCAGCCTCTGTTTAAAAACCTCCAAAGACGGAGACTCCACCACACTCCGAGGCGCTGTGTTTCACTGTCAAATAGCTCTTCCCGTCAGTAATTTCTTCCTAATGTTGAGGTGGAATCT